AAATGCTCTAATGAGCTTTGCGACATTACGCTATTACAAAGTAATAGCCTAATGAGCTTCGCGACATTACTCAATAAAATAATTATCTAAATAGTTCTAATAATATGAAATTATTAGAATTATTTTCAGGGATAGGGTCGGTTGGTCGGGTTGCTCGGGATTTGGGTTTTAGTGTTATTTCCCTTGATTTGAAAAATGCAAATATCAATACTGATATTTTGAGTTGGGATTATCGTGATTTTGATGTGGGCGAGTTCGATGTTGTGTGGGCATCTCCTCCTTGTATCGAATACAGCCGAGCGAAGACGACGGACGTCCGAAAGATAGAGTATGCTAACAGCATCGTTTTGAAAACCCTTGAAATCATTGACTACTTCAAACCGAAGTGGTGGGTTGTGGAAAATCCTCAAACTGGACTTTTGAAGGGACAACCATTCATGAGTGGGTTGAAATACTATGATGTGGATTATTGTAAATATGGCATGAACTATAGGAAGCGAACGAGGTTGTGGTCAAACATTGAAACATGGAAACCCAGACCATTATGCAAAGGGGATTGTGGGAAGGTTAGGAATGGGAAACATGTTGAAACAGCACAACGGTTACCAGGAAAAAGGGACAGTTGGGGAGAGGGATACATTAAACACAAACAAGATGACCTATACAAAATCCCTTCTGAATTGATTAGTGATATATTTGTTAGTTTGTTTTAGGGTTAAACCACAAAAGGTGGGGAACAGGGTAAAACCCGACCCGTCCCAGAACCTAGAACTCGCAAGCGTTGAAGGCGATGAAGAGCAGGACTTCCAGACCTCGGAGTAGGCAGACGCGGGAACTATTTTAGGGTAAATGGGGTTGGTGGAATAGGGGTAAACCTAAATTAATGGAGACCCCCTCCCCGAAATTGGGGTGACCCCCTCCCCGAAATTGGGGTGACCCCCTCCCCGAAATTGGGGTGACCCCCTCCCCGAAATTGGGGTGACCCCCTCCCCGAAATTGGGGTGACCCCCTCCCCGAAATTGGGGTGACCCCCTCCCCGAAATTGGGGCGACCCCCTCCCCGAAATTGGGGTGACCCCTTCCCCGACCTTCATCCCGCACTCTAGCAGACAACTGTTTCCTTTCACCATCAGTTTGTAGACGCTCTTATCTATACAGTGGCGTTATGGTTTCTAACGCAAAACACTCACTGCAAAATGCAGTTGGATGAGACAGCATCAACATTCAGGTCAGCAGGTTGGTGGTCATTCCGGCTTGATAACTCTTGCTTCACCTTTTCCAGGAAGGACTGACCGTCTATGTTCAAGATGCCAGCCTGTGCGTTGAAGTTGTGGAACTCATCAACAAACATGTGGAGAAGGGCTGTTGTCGTCTCACTCTCTATGGACTGAAGGACGGAGACATACTTCTGAACCAACTTCACTGTTGGAAAGAGGACCTGGACAGCACGAGTAGCGCGTTCATCGTTCGTCAGGTTCTTGGTGCCAGGGACATTGGTAAACAATGTTTTGAGAACTGAGAGGCTCTCTGTGTCAAGGTGACGTAGGCAAATGGTAATGAAGTTCGGTCCAATCCTGGTTCTCAAAGTCTCAAACTCGTGCTGTTTTAGCTTCAACTCATTGACCAACGAGTGGAAAGTCTCGGACATCTCCTGGTCAATCTCCGTGCTTGCATTGACCTTGTGCGTGGCCTCCAATTTGTCCTTCAGGTGTTTCAAGGCATCCTCCTTCTTTACAAACATCGGTTTCTTAGTGGTCCGCGCACCTCCCTTCAGCTCCATGGAGACACTGATGGTGTCAAAGTCCCTCACCATGTTGTCCTCATACGACAAGGAGCAGTAGAGCGTCTCCCCTTTGCCGTTCGTGAGCCTCAAGCAGTTGGGCGAAATCTTCACCTGGCCACTCAACATGGTGGTAAAGGTCTTCATCTTCCACTTCGGGTTCACGAAGATGGTGAGGTTTGAAGCAGCAACCAAATTGACACACGAAAAGTTCATCTTCGCATACAGGGTGATGAAGCACTGACTCTCAAAAGGGTCATCTCCCCCGTCTTCTGGTTCACTGTCATCTGGGTCTTCGTCCTGCTCGTCGTCATTGTCCTTGTTGGTGTCCTCTCCGCCATTCCCTCTCGAACCACTGGCACCCTGACTGCTCTGACCTGTCGCAGTTCCCTGCAAAGCATCTGAAACATCAAAGCCCTTGTCAGCGACAATCCGCTTCAGGAGGTTGACCTCAGACTGTAAGTCTTGCACCTCCTTGCGGATTTTGCGTGTCCAGTGTTCATCACCTGTTGGGCGTCCTCCTGAGGGTCTTACCGGTATGCGCTCCTCGTCGTTGTCCAAATCTGGAACTTTGGAGGTGGAAGTCATGGTATGAGGGCACAAACCAGATTTCAAGCCAAATACCTTCACAAACCGAGCAAAGCATTCAAACAAAGGCAATTTGACAGACAATGCTTCTCAATCCAATCACATGCATAGCACAATGATGAAGAGCTTTTTTTTTTCAAGGAGAGCCAAGAGGTCTGTTAGTGATTGTCACCGACGTGGGACAAAGGCACATTCACCACGGTTTTGGAACTCTCTTTCACACAGCTGAGAAGTTGTTTAAATGAACACATGCTTGGAGAGGCTTTCACCCGAAGAACCGTGGATGAATGGCAGACAAGACATCTGCACATCTACTGCCCTTCCGCTTCAGCGACAACAGGGGCAACCGAAGCGATGACGGTCATAGCCTCATACTCTGCCTTGGAGTATCCACTCAAACGAGCACCGTCAGGCATGTTCACTGTCTTTCCGCCCAGTGTAGGACGAGCATTCATTGAGTGGAACACCTTGTCGTTCCAAATCATCTTGAAGTGCTTCGTAAAGTCGTCCTTGGCAGTCTTGAGGCGAAGGTTGGTGTAGTCAGGATGGTTCACCGCCACCATCTCGCGTAAGTCGGCAATCGTGCTGTCCTTGGGCAGAGTGGCCGTGTAGGGCTCATCACGGAAACCCGCCATGTCGACGAATACCGTCATGTTGCTCTCGCGCTCCAAGCGGTTGTTCCCGAACAAGCTCGTTCCTCTCCCTCTGCCTCCGAACGGTCTCCTCCTTCCTGATGCGACTGTTCTCTTCCTCCAACAGCTCATTCAGGTAGACATGCTGAGCAGTCAGACGCTTGATTTCCTCAAAGATTTCCGTCTTATGGGTGTCCATCTCTTGGAAGGTCAACCCATTGACCAAGGTCTCAAAGTCCTCCTGAACTGGTGCAACTTGCAACGTCATCTTCACAGTCTTGGTGTTGTCTTCGGAAGAGGATGCCATGACAACAGTGAGAGGCGAACTTGACACTTCAGTCAAAGTTGTTGAGCGCAAAATGCTGGTGGGCAAACAACAAGGTCGAAGGTCAATCTCAGTAAGAGTTCTCTATTGTCTTCTGACCGGTCTCTATCTGGCTCACATGTGTCCTCAAAACTTGCTTCAAGGCATGACTGTTACAATCACGAAATGAACAACCATGACTACACACGCCACATCCCAATCTTGGCAACCCGGCAGAACCAAAGAAGGTGTCAATGTCCACGAGGCCGGGGCACGGACGACGGGAAACCAAACACTAACAAAACAAATACACCACCAACACCCCAGAACTTGATAACTACTAAAAGGGCTAACTCTTTCAAATGAAAAAAATGTTTGCCCCCAGCCCAACAATGAACAAGGGGGGCAATTACCAAAATGATTACCTTAACGAAAACGATAAATAAGCTCCCCGAAAACCCTCTTTTAAAAACGAATAAGGGGGAACACAGATTTGAGATGAACATAAAAACCAGAACAGGCAACCCTCAACAGACCTTCCCCCAGGCCCCCCCTTTTTACCATTTTTTCCCCCCCCCCCCACGGACCGCGCGGCAATTTGATGACGTTTCACTAAACGTAGTCTTCGGGGAGCCGGTGTCGAACAGGGGTCCCAGGCTCGATTCCCCCTGTCGGCTCTTTGCTGGTTCCTGCCTCCTTTTGCCAAAAATCTAGAAAAACTCTGTGTTTTTGTACCTCATGATTGCGAAAACGCTGGAAAACCGTGTTTTTGTGCGGGACATATTTGGGGAGCAAAGCGGAAATGCAAGGAAGTGCAAGGAAATGAGGGAAGGAAATAGGAAGTCGACATGACAGGAAAGCAGCGGGAAATGAAAGGGAAACAAAGGGGAACTGAAAGGACATGCAAGGGACAGAAATGACAACAAAGAAAGTGCAGGGGGGATGAAAGGGAAACAAAACACAAGGAAACTGCAACAGCCCAACTCAGGACATGGATTCAGCATGGTTGTACATGCATGGCATGTGGCTCAGGGGGCCCCCTTTTGCTCACCCAGGCAGAGCCTAGGCTACACTCGCTAGGAGCCATAGAGGGTCTCGCACCTTGCCTGGGTACTGTTTTTCCCTTGCCGCGGCACTTTGCCATCATGGCGGACAAGGATGGTCATACACCTTCATGGGATGGATCAGCCAGATCCTGGAGATGCTACACTCGAGAAGTGTGCTGGCATGTGAGCGCGGCACCTGTGATTGAGCTGACTGCGAAAAAAAAAAAAAAAAAAAAAAAAAAAAAAAAACGAAAAAAAAAAAAAAAAAAAAAAAAAAAAAGAAAAAGAAAAAAGAAAAAAAGTAAAAAAAAGAATAAAAAAAAAAAAAAAAAAAAAAAAAAAAAAGAAAGAAAAAGAAGAAACAAAGAAAAAAAGAAAAAAAAGAAAAGAAGAAAAAAGAAATAAGAAAAAAAAGAAGAAATAAAAAAAAAAAAATGTACGAGAAAGTGTAACATATATATATCAGAGGGGTATGTCTGGAGACGGGAAAAAAAAGGAGAAAAAAGAAACAAAGGAAAGAAAAGAAAAACGCCCCTTGCGAGGTCCACCCCCTCACTTGAAGCTTGCCCTCCTTGAAGTTTTGCCGACGCTCTTGTGAGCCTGCGAGCGCTGCAGAGTCTTGGCCCTCAGTCGCGCGATAGCTGAACTGCGATGGGGGCCGCGATGTCGAGAGAGCCCGCCGCGTGCTACTACTGGCAGGACGGCGAGTGGCGCTGGGAGTGGGGCGGGCAGCTGTGGATCTGGGCGTCGATGTGCCAGTGCTGCGGCCTCGAGGCGACCGGGCCCTGTTCGCAGCCCAGGGTTCTTGAGCGGGCCGCCGACAGTCGCAAAACGCAAGACGTTGCGGGCGACAGCAGGAGAAAAGTCTGGCCCTCGCAGGAGAGCACGGGCGTCGCGGTTGCGCGCCTCGTCTTGCAAGGAAGGGAGTTGGCAAACGCCGCGCCAATTTGCGAGATTCCCAAGCAACGCGCGGCCGCGTCGACTTTTGGGACTGGGCTGGCCGCGGCCGTTTCCACGGCTTTTCGGCTCAAGCTTCCGAGCTCTTGCGCACGCCTAGCTGTTTGCGATCAGGACTGTCCGCGCTCGCTTCTCGCGGCAGAGAGGTTTCCTCGCGGGGTCGCCCGTCGCGCGCGCAGGACTTTTGATTGGCAGAATGGCCCCGGCGGATCTTTCGTCTGCGGCCGCGGCGGACGAGGCTAGCCGAGAGTTTTTTCTCGTTCGAGTTTGGCTTTTTCGCGCCCGCCGCCCCCTCCCTGCGGCCGCTCGCAGGTTGCGGCGGTCTGCGCCCTGGCGGCGGTCGACGCCCCTGGGGACGGCAACTGCCTCTTCCACGCCCTCGCGACGCAGGACGAAGAGGGCTGCTGCGGGGAGGAGCTGAGTCTCGAGAGCGAGGCCTTCGGCCAGGACGGCTTCGAAGAAGTTTGGCTAGAGGAGGCCGAGCACCTGCGAGGGCCTGCGGCGGAGTGCTGGGGCGGAGCCGTGGCCATCTCGGCTTATTCCTTGCTTCGACAGCGGCGGGTCTTCGCCCACATCAAGGTCGCGGGCTCCGACATCGTGGAGGTCCAGGACAGCTCCCACGCGCTCGTCGACGCCGACGCGCCGGTCGCCCACCTCCTCTACAACGGAGTAGACCACTACAGCGCCTTGATCGCTCCGACGCCATGGTCCCGGCCTGGCCCGCAGCCGCCGCCGCCGCGCTACTTTGCCCGGGCGATCGCGGAAGCTGCGGGGACCGCGGCGGCCGCTGTCTGCGCAGAGGCCTGTGTTCGCTCGCGCGCCAAGGGGCAAGGGGTCGACTTCGCGGCTTCGCGGCCAAGGAGTTCCCAAGTCTGGCCGCGCCGCGGCCGCCCGCAAGCCGGCCCGCTCAGGCTGCGGGGTTGGCCGCGCGCCGCCGCGGCCCGCCCAGCCCGCTCCGGCAAAGCCCCGGCGCCGCCTCCGGGAAAAGACAACGCCGGCGCCGGAGCTGCAGGACGATGTGATGGAGGAAGTCAGCAAAGCCTTCGTGATCCCGCGGCCCAGACTTCCCACCCCTTCCGCCCCCTAGAGGACGCGGTGACGGAGTTGGCGCTGAAGCTCCGGTTCCAGCCGACGCTCCCGCCGGGCGCCGAAGATGTTGAGCTGAAGGACGGAGCAGTCTGGCCCCGCGCGTTCTGCGCCTTTGACGGCTGCGGATGGGAGGCGGCCAACGGCCTGGAAGCGGACCTCGCCAAGCACCTTGAGGCGGAGCATGCGGAAGACCTGGAGTCCGCCGCCGCTTGCTTTCCTGGGCCTCGCCCCCCGGACGCGCTGCTGAGCGTTTACAACGAGGCCGTCGCCCGGCGCTGCCGGGCCGGGGCGCCGCTGGCGGGGTGCTCCTTGGATCGCACCGCGCTGCGCTCCTTCGCCGAGGCGACTGCGCAGGACAGCGTGGAAGCTCTGGTTTGCTTCTGCTGCGCCTGCGTCTACACCCGCGTGGCGGAGCTTGAGGGGCAGAGCGAGATCCAATGGCGGCGGCCACTGAGTCGCAAGCCGATGGGGGAGCGCCTCTTCTTCGGGAAGTCGGCGGCCGCAGCGGCGCGAGGTATCAGCCTGGAGCGGTTTTTGGAGAAATACGACCAGCTCGACGTCCCGGGCAAGAAGTTGTCTGACTCTGAGAGTTTTGCGGCTGCCTGGCCCTGGCGGCGCAGAGCTGCTGTGCTGCCCGGAGGACCACCGCTGCCGCGCGGTCCCAGGACACGTTGAGGAAGGCACTGCGAGCTGCCAGTTTGCGGCGGCTGCCTCGACCACCTCGCCCCGCGCAGTTGCCCCCGCTGAGCCTGGCAAACGACATGTGGACTGGCTACGCCCCGGAGCGGATCTACGCGGAGGATCGCCCTGCGTCACGACGCTGATTTGCATGTCTATGGAGGCGCGGTTCCGCAGCGAGGCTTGCGCCCTAGACGAGACGGCTCATATGGCCCGGCATCGCTTCGGGGCTCGGGGCAACGCTTTATCTTTCCCGCTGGTCTGGGTAGACGTCTTGAAAGCTTTGCAGGGGGAAGGCGACCAGGCGGCGGCGCTGCCGCGCAGCGGCGCAGAACTCGGCCAGCTGGTCCGCGTTCTGCTCAAGACCAACAAGAAGGGCAAGACGAGCGTACGAGGCCGGCCTTGGCCCCCTGGGAGCGCCGTGATGCTGGCGTCACGGCTAGCAAGCTGCGCTGCGACGAAGGCCTCGGTGGCGAGACCCAGCAGGGCATTTGCTATTTTGGTGTCTACCTCCAGCGCGACACGGAGATCAAGGGCCTCATCCACCAGGCGAACGAGGCGGCGGTCAACCTCATCTTGGACATGAAGCGCCTGGGCCACCCGTCCTTTGCGGGCGTGGATGAGGAGGGAGTTCGCCTTAGAGCCGCCGCCCTCCCTGCCGACGGGGTTCCTCCCGAGGTGTTGAAAGTCGTGGTCCAGGCGCGGGCGAAAGAGGGGCGGGCCGCGGGCTGAACGGAAGAGGGCGCTCGAAAAAAAAAACGCGCGCCCGCGACCAGGTGGACGCGGGCGTCGACGACGCCGAGGACAAGCTGCAGCCGCAAAAGGCGGCGACGCCTTGCGACGGGCGGCAGGAAGACGCCGCCGCCGCCGGCGCGACCTTTGCCGCGCAGCGGGCGCGGGCCGTGGTCGCGGAAGGCTGCGCGGCCGAAGACGCCAACGAAGCTGCGGTGGCCGCGCTGCGGAAACTGCGGCGGGACCTAGAGGCGGAGGTCGAGAAGCGAGAACTGGACAAGTTAGAGGTCAGGGCCGGCAACCAGCTTCTGGACCAGTTCCAGCCCCTCTGGGAAAGAAAAGCGGGGCGTTTGCGGCAGGCCCGCAGCGCGCCGGAGGGTCCGGCGCTCCTGCTGAAACAACTGCGGGGGAGGAGGTGGACTGGGAAGCCTTCAGGGAGGCGAAGGCGCCCTGCGCGGCCTGCGGGAAATGCAAGACGAAGACGCTAGATTGCTTTTCCGACCGTCAGTGCAAGTCCGAGCCAACCAATCTGCGATTTGCCTGGCCTGCGGCCCTGGCAAGAGCAGAAGACGCTGAAGCGGAAGCTGCCCTCCGGCCTGGCGCGCTTGGATTGCCGCGGCTGCAAACTCCGGAAGTTGGAGGGCGCCTTCCAGCAAGACAACTCCGAGGCCAGGCGCCGCTGCTTGAAGTGTTTGAAAGATGTCGAGAGTTTGAGCTGCTCGACTTGTTTAAGCGAGATGCCAGTTTCCGAATTCAGCAGCGCAATGGCGACCATGCCTTGGGCGGCTGTCTGCGGCCCCTGCGGGAAAAGCGCGAGGCAGCAGCCGAAGTGGGGCTGCGCCGGCTGGTTCGCTTGCCGAACTTGCGAAACTTTCCTGCCTCCGCAAGGCGCGGCAAGGGGCGAGGCCAGCGCTCAGCGCCGGCGGTGCTTGAATTGCGCCGCCCGCGGCTCCCGGGCGAAGGATCGTTGTTGTAGGCGGTTTCGGGCGCGAGCTTTCGACGCGCGGAAGCTATATGCGCCGCTTACATAAAGGGCGTGTTCCGCCAGGCCCCTTGCGCGGGCGCCATATCGCTTCCGCCGAAAAGCCCATGCCCGAAATTCGCGGGGGGGATGCCTGTGGCCGCCGCTCGCGTTGCCAGAACTTGCGCCGTGGAAATCCTTGTCTTGCGCGAGCGCTTCGGGGTGGTCGAGCGTGCGGCGGGGCGGGCGGCGGCTTCCGCGGACACCTTGGAGGTTGTCCACGGCGGAGGACCGAATTCGAAGCTAGGAGGGTTTGATTGAAAGAACAAGATCCCTTGAAGAGGCGTCTGGCCCACCCCGGTCGAAGTCTGTTTGGCCCACGCGGCGGGCGAAGTCGGCGGGAGGGGGCCCCGCCTTGATTGGCTTCGACTTCGCCCGAGAGTAGCCGTGAGAAAACAGTTTCTTTCTTCTCCGAGGCGCCTGGTGGTTGGGCGCCGTGGGCGGCGAGACTTGCGGCGGCCTTGCCGCGCCGGGGCGTCTTCAAGGGGTCCAGCCGCCGCGCTTTGCGAGGACGCCTTGGAGGCGGAGGGCCAGCCGTTCGGGGACGGCGCTGCAGTTGTCGCGCCGCGCGCCGCGGGGGCTCAAGCCGTGAGTTCGAGCTGCGCGCAGGTGCCAGGCGCCGCGTCGCGCGAAGCCCATGCCGTCAGCGGGCAAGGCCTGGACCGCCGAGCGGGCGCTGCTGATGACGGAGCACCTCGCCGCTCGGGCGGCGTTGTTGGAGCAGGTCTTGGCGGAGGACTACGGCTTCTGGATTCCCCGACGAGGGGAGGACGTCGTGCTCCGCAGCGCCGGCTCCCGGAAAGAATAAGTCGCAAGTCCGGCAAGTGAACCAACCGGCGCGGCCCCACTTAGGCTGCCTTCTCACGTCGGCCGCGCAATCAGCGCAAACCGCCGCCCACGGCATGGTCGCCATCGCGCTGCTGAATTCGGAGATCTGCTTCGTGCTTTCGCAGACGGACCACGGCCGCCCTTGCTTGGGCCGCAGGCAAGGCAAATGGCCGAACGGTTGGCTCGGACTTGCTCGAAGAAGTAGCCCAGCGTCTTCTTCACATCTTTGCATTTCTCGCAGGCCGCAGAGGGCGCCTTTGCCTCCCTGAAGGCTTCCCAGTCCACCTCCTCCCCCCGCAGTTGTTTCAGCAGGAGCGCCGGGCCCTCCGGCGCGCCGCGGGTGTAGAGCCAGCGCTCGAAGGGCCTGCCGCAAACGCCCCGCTTTTCTTTCCCCCGCGCCGTTTTCCCGCGCGCGCCTCAAGATCAAGACCCTGCTCGCAGCCACGGTCCCGAAGGTCACGTCGGTTCGCTTGTCGACGTTGAAGTCGACCAGCGCGCCGGGGAGCGTCTTGCCCTGACTGCCGTGGGCCGTGGTCGCGTAGGCCGGCGGCAGCGGCAGCTGCGTCCGCGCGATCTTGAGCACCGGCTTCTTGCGCTTGGCGTCCAGCTTCCAGACCTTGCGGACGGGGTAGACCGGGTAGAGGCCCGGCCCCACTGCTTGTAACTGCTGCAGAGTTGCAGGACCATTTCAGGCTCCAAGGGATGGTACTCAAACAGGACCTTTCTAGCAAGGCTGTTGGCGGCCGCGCTATCGCTCATCCACTCCTGAAAACTGCTGTCCGACCACTTCGCCACATACTTCGCCACGTAAACAAGCAGCAGCTGGTGGCCGCCGGACGCCTGCAAATCTTGGTGGCAGCGAAAGCAATCCATCAAGTCCGGAAAGTAAGTGCGGAGCCCCGCTTCGGCGGCCTTGGCGGAGTGGCGCAGACAGAGGCGGTCTTCTGCAAGGTTCCAGTGAGAGCTGTCTGCGCAGACGGGCCAACGAGATTCCCCCCCGCAGTCCTCCTGCGATCCTTGCACAAACGCAGCCAGGTTTGGGCTGTCTGCGCCTGGCGCCTCTGCCAACACACGCCGCTTCCAGTCAATGCGTTCTGGGCGGTCCAGCCAGAAGAGGACGTGCAGGTGAGGCCGCCCGCTGCCACGGTAGCGCTGTGTGCCTGCCTTCCTTGGAACTCCAAGCGAGTGAAGACGTGGAAGCAGCCGGACTCGCCCTTTGCGCCTTGACCTTGCACTCCGGGCTCACCGGCGCCGCCTGCCAGGAAGCCGCGAACTGCCTCCATCACGCAGTGCGCGATGCGCAGCGTCTCGTGGGCCGGGGCGCCGTAGCGAGTCCGCAACTGCTTCCGAAGCTCGTCGAGCAGGAAGTCGCTGTAGGGGAAGCTGAGTTCCCAGGGCGCGAAGGTCAAGTACAACTGGGGCGGGCCAATCGGACGAGGTCCTGGAGCCCGGCCAACACAGCACGCCAGTACAGCAGAGACATGGGATGTTGCGCCATCATCAGCCGCGTCTTGCTGCCTTGGCGTTCCGCTAGATTCCTCTTCGCGCCCAACTCAGTCCAGAGTTGCAGGTCGTAGACGAACTGCAGGAGGCCAAAATTGGAGCCATAGCTGGGCAGCGGGGACAAGCTTTGCGCGGAAGCTGCGCTTTATGCTGCGGCGCTGGCCATCCGCACCCTCTTCCAGGTCCGCCTCCCGCTCAAGGCGCCGCGCGTCGGTGTAGCGCTCATGCGTCTCACACATAGACCCAGCCCCAGCTCCTCGATGAAGCGCAAGGAACGCTTGGCCGCAGTTTCTGTCAAGAGACGGCAAGGTGACGTCCCGTGGGACGCTGTGCACCGAACCCTCAAGCTGTAATACCAACCACGTAGAAAGGTGTATACGGACGATGCCGTTATAGCCGAACCCGTGTAAACGTTGTAAGGGAGAAGGAATGAGAGTTACAACAGTGGTCCTGACAAATGCAGCGCAAGCAAAGAGTTTTCGCTCTCAATGCCGATCACGTATGTATGCAGTCACACATCAGATCTTGAACCTCAATTGTGTCTTGAGCCAAAATGGCGATCAATGGAACTTGGGAAGCAACACCATCAAGGACCTCAGAACAGCTACCCAATTTCGGCACGGGGCCTAGAGGGTTTTAACATCCCCCATTTGGGTCGCATTGTTCATCATGCGGTCCAAACACCACAAAAAGTTCCACTGGCCACGGCTTCAACTACGAAATCGTGTCGTGCATTCTTTTACTTGCTATCACTACACCGTTCATTCGCTGTGAAACATGCCGGGTTCGATTGTACGAAAAGTGAAACGTTCATCCTCCAATCGAAGCACACATCCATATGCAGGTGTATATAATACACTGTGGCCACTTCACATGACCGCCAGTGAACATTCCAGCTGCCGCATTTGCGCAACGCGCAGCTGTCATCCATAAATGGGTTGGCCACAAATGTCCACCATGCGCGCCCGCTTGTGATCGGTCTGCATATCTCCGGCAAAGAAACATCGGTGAGTAATCAATGCAAATCATAGCCATTCCAGATACCATGGACAATACATAAATAATGAAAAGATATCATCTATAAGGTAATAATTCCATCCATGAATATCCAGAGCGTCATAGTCATCGGAATATGTAACCATGTACACATCCAATCATCTTGGACACATGAATATAAATCATGACATAAGTCGTTCCACCGAAACAGTGTCGAAGTGACGCAAGTAACAGATGGGGACTGGCCCACATCGTACCGCAATCATCATCTTCACGAAGCATACCTGTCCCCAATGGACAGCCTATGGGTACGTCGGCGGAACTCCTCGTCCAAGTTCTTCTGGGCTTCTCGAGCCCGGACACACTTCTTGTTGTAGTCCTCTGGCAACCAGTGCCCTTTCCGAAGGCACCAATCCAGCAGGGGTGTGTCGCATTTGTTCGGGTCGACGGCCGAGGTGATGGCGCTCACGTTGACCGTGTAACCATGTTTGCCAAGGTTCAGGCCATCCCTCACGAATGATATATACTTACAGTTGAAAGCTAGTGCAAAACATCTGAAACTAATATCACCCACCGGGTGCACTCGGTCCTTGACCAGGAGCTTCATTTCTTCCTTGGTGACATCGAGGATTCTCGCTGCAATCCACAGCTTGTAGAATGTGTAAAGTCCCTCGCATTTGCACACCATCATACGAATATATTCGTCACGCTCCTCAACCGATCGGAAGGCTCTTGTCCGAACATTCTCCGATTGAGAAATCTTCGTTATTGTTGATGGCAAGAGTATACCTTCCTGATCGTGCTCAGTGATGTTGGGGTACCTCTTGAAATCATTGTGGTAAGGGCAGCCCTCTTTCCCCTCGAGCTTGGCAATCATCGTTCTATCCTCACCACCTTCAAACATCCCCCACATCTTGGACAGCTGGAGTGCGATAAATCCTGCCATGTACTGAGCCTCACGTGGCTCGTCAAGGCAGATCGCCATCCGTTGGGAACTTATAATGTCCCGTGACGCCAGATCGGTGTCGCGGTAATGCCAACCGCTGTCTTCTTCTTCTGACGCATAGCCGGATGTATATCCTTGCGTGTCCATATCGTCATCTTCTCCCGGAACTTCCTCCGCTTCGTCTTCATCCTCCTGTGCTGCCGCATCGTGGTTAGCTTCTTCCTGTGCACGCCTGGCATCTCCAGAGACGTTGGGGTTTTGGTTGTCCTCCTCGTCATCGGATTTGATGTGAATGTAGTATCTTCCGATGGAGATCAGTTGTGCCTCGCACTCCAGGCAAAAGCAGAAGCAGGTGGGGATCGCGGTCGCACATGATGGACATATCCGGCACCTCAGTCCTTCCCATGTCTCATCATTCAGGATGACGACTTTGCTGACTTCGTCCCGGACCTCGTTGACCTGTGCGTTGAACTCTTCCATCTTGTTGTTTCGATAGAGTTCGCTAGCACGATTAACCATGTCAACGATGTAGTGCAGATTATCGGCACCTGTCTCAGTCTCCGGCATCCTCTCGCTGATCTTTGCGACGTTCTGGAGGAACATCGCAGCCGACTCTTGGGAAGAGTTGACAAAGCCAGGGCAGATCTCGTTCTCCACACATTTCGAGTACGCCCTCTTGATGTCAGCGTACTCCAGGCGTTTCCCTCCGTTGCTTTTGCCAATCCAAATGGACTTGACCTCATAGAACGGGATCACGTCAAAGACCATGAAAGTCCCAATAGCCGCGACTCCAGCCCCATACCGCGCGAGGGTTGCACTGGGAATATAGATGATCGCAATCGGATCCCCTCTCCTCACGTTCCGTAGCGTTGTCTTCGTCGCCACGTTCATCACATCCCATGGAGCAAACGCCCCGAAGTGCAGTGCTAGCCTGTTACCGCCATCGATTCCGCCGGGGACTAGCCCACAGCGTACGATGCTTGGCAGGTTTTCCACATACGTCACATGGAATGCTCCTCCGAGAGTATCACCCATTCTTGCGGAATACCTATTCGCCAGTGCGGATGAGCTCATGAATCCAAAATCACTGTGGCCGGTTGTGACTCGGATGCACCAAGGTCTGTACCATCCATCGCATCTGTTGAACATCCTGTCGATGTCGTCCCGATCCACGCCAGCTTCGGTCATTTCCTCCCTGGCTGCCCTCGTGTCGTTCGGGTTCATGATGCTCGGAAACCTTGCTGCCAAAACCTGGAATCTCGATTTTCTGCTTCCGGATTCCAGCCACTTGATCACCTCCATGATGCCCATGTATCGTTTCGCTCTCGTGGTGTATGGTGGGAATATGTCGTTGTTCCGGTCGTCAATGACAGCATCAATGTCGACCCATCCACCCTCGTCGAACCTGAAAGCACTTCCTCGGCAATTGCCGATCTTGTGTCGAAGGACTCTGCATAGGTCGTGAGATAGCTGGTTTGCTTGGTCCCTTGTAGTAAATACCGAGCGATCATCACCAAACCTGCATAGTGGAGCAC